TTGAAGTTGTAAAACTTCTGGCCATTAATTAAAATTTTATATTTATAAAATTATATTATGATAATAAAAGTCAGTAAAAGTTGTATGTGTCTTAGAAATTTTATTTTATTAAATACCTACATTTAACGCATAAAAAATTGCACCCCCTCCCCTCCCACGGCTTCAGATCATATAAATTTTTCTTTAAAAATATATAGTTTTATTACGTATTATACGATATAGTAACCCTAAACGAAAATCTTATGAAACACTGCATGGTAATAAAAAGGTATAAGGAAAAAATTATGCATTGACAGAAGGGTTAAGAAACGATAAACCTCTTTTCGAACTCGTGATACTCGTGAATGTCTCGATTATCGCCTTGTTACACGCCGAGCGTGCTTATCTGTTCTTTATCTGCTCGTTCGTGTCATAGAGCCAGCATTTTTCAGTTATTTGCCACGCAATACAACGCGACGGCTCGGCGTGGCCAAAGCGTGGCTCTGAAGCACGATCACGATTTGCTCAGAAGCATGCCTCTATAAACGGCGCACATTGTAGCTCGCGACCGGGATCCCACGATAAATCCGTTCGAGTCCGCGAGTCCGTGAACGGTCCGCGTGGTCACCTCTGCGGTGCCTATATCGGCAGAATAATCGGCGACGATAAATTAGCGCGGCAAGTCAAAGGTTTTGCTTTCTGATTTATGACCGATCGGATCATCGGTGGCGCGTGTCAAGTGTCAAGGTGATATCTCTGTCGCTTAGACCGCGCCGTGTCGTCTCACGAGTCGATGGTGCCCCACGGATGCGCAAGCGTATTAGGAAAGCGTACGCCCATTATGCGTAATGCGGCTTTGGGTGCCCATATGATGAAGGGAGAAGAGAAGAAGTGGTATGAAGGAAGAGGGGTGCCCAGCCAACTTCCGGTTGAGTCACAGAGGCTTTGCAACTGCAAGAGGCGCAGGGCGCGCGTGGGTAACGAAAGACCGTCGTGTTATTTTTTTCACGTCGCCGATGATGCTTTGGCAACCTTTGAATATCAATGAGAAATTCCTCTCTGTATCTTCATTCTGTGTAAGCCTCTTAGGAGAAAAAAAAAACGTCCCAAATAACAGATTTAAATGCAATCATAAATAGAAATTGAAATATTGAAATAATAATAGAAATATCACAAATTATAAATTAATCGTCAGTTTAATACTGTTAATAATTATTTTTTAAAAATATTATTCAATGTTTCAACAAATTTTCTTCAAAAGGTTCTTACGTTCTCAGTTTAGAATCCTAATCTTCGTTAGACAGTATTTGCGAAAAAATTGTGTGTGCGAACAAATCTGTTCGTCAAACAAACTCGGATGAGCAAACACACTTATGACACGCTAGAAACAGCCGAGTGAATTTCAACCTTTCTCGCCGTCTTTGGAAACTCATTAAATGCCTTTCTTTATTTATTCACACCTCGTTGAAAATGTCTCTTTCAAAATCGCGCTAAAGTGTTTTGTTGATACGATGTATCGTATAAATGATTTAACAGCCAAAGAACGTATATTCAATTTTCTTCATTAACGATATTCAAAAGAGTAAAAAGATTCAAATCCTTTCGCTGAGTTTCATTTACTTAATTCGCATCTAAAATGCAAATAATCGATAATGTCGCTGTTTGTCTATGTAGATTTGTAAATTCATGCTCTAGTAAAGAGAAAGTCCAGGTTGATTTCAAAATTACACACCAAAGAAAAGGAAAGCAATTTGCAAAATTACAGCGCATACATTACGTGCATACGATATGTACGAAGGAGTGGCTTCTCCCTTCGAGAATGAAACATGTGTCTTCTACAATTTGAGCACTAGTAACATTCACCGAGAACATGGGGCGAATGAAAAGAAAGAAACATTTTCATTATCGTCTATTCTGGAATCCCTTATCTTGAAAACTGTGTTTAGTATGTTAAATTTCACGGATACGTTTTTCTAAGTCGAAATCGTTGTACCGCGAACGTTACACGGTAATGTCATTCGGCATTAATTTACTACCACCGAGTATCTCTATAGTGGTTTATCAAAGATCGATATATTTTAAGCGACGTGATTTAGGCGAGTCGCGTAAATCATATATCTCGTGTACATCGCCTTTTGTGACTATAAATATATGTACGAGCTCGATGCTCGTTTACGTATCGTTCGTTTTTCTCGACATACATTTGTGTCGCAATCGCTCAGGGTGGTCCACATCGCGAAGCTGGATCCTTCGAGGTCGCGCGAGACCACACTCGTTTTCGTACATTCCGTCCGCCAAACTGCACCCAAGTGTATTTTATGGACGCACTTTCCTTGATCATCGATACGTGTGCACTTAATCGTGTCCACATAGTAACATGCAATCAGAGGTGAAAGTACGGCAAAGCGACAATCGCAAGTGAATCGAATTATGTGGGAAGCTACTATTAACGATGTTGTAGCAATGTTTTCATCATTAATCTCTTATTCAGCACGCGATCTAATTACGGATCTCTAGCGAGAATTAATAAATTATCTTCAAAGCGGCAATCTCGGAGACAATCTAGATACGAAATCGCAGGATGATTCTCAAGATCAATTGCTAAAAGTGCAAGGTCAGAATGGAGATCAGTAGCGCGTAGTGAAAAGTCCGCGTCCGTTTGTTACGTGAAATGCTGTGCAGCGTCAGAATTGCTACTTTCCGCGAGGCTCGGTACACCGTGGCAGTTCTATTTTACGCATCAACTCGTATTCGTACCGTATTAGGAAACTAGCAGTTCAGAAAGGCGGTCACACACGCGTGTCTAGAATTAGATAGATAGCCATCGGTAGATTTCCAGTTCCTTGTAGGAAAAGAATCACGGACCACTGCTCTTTTCGTCATTTCACCTTTCTTTCTTTTTGTTTTAAACACTAAGTAGGAATTTCTAAAACACTCTCCCGTAGTCTTATTAAACGATGTCTTTTTAGAAAATGTGAATGTGTATATATTATCCAGTCATCTTATAAAATAATTAATGCGATATATTGTACATTATTATGTCACGAAGAAACAATTAATTTCAGCTGCGGTTATTATGTTACCAGAAACAGTTAATGTCAGTTACACAATTGATAAAATCAAGACCAGATTTTAAAGAATATAATGTTATTAAATAAATGATATGTGTCTTTATTAGCAAAAAGTTCTAAAAGAAACAATTTTATAAGAAAAAAGGCTGGTATGTCAGACCGAAAATGTGGCATTGAAGGATTAAATCAATAAAATTGAAAGGCTAACTGTCGATTGATTTAGATTATAGGTACAAAAGGAAAGTTTTATGACATTAACCTCATGTACTCGTTTCAGGAATGCAGTCTTTATGTGCAAAATCTAATAAGTTGCAAAAACTTTCATCTACTTCGAACTTCCCAAATTTAGTACCGATACGATAGTAACGATCCTCATGCAGTATATTTCGTTTCCATATTCCACGTACAACAGTAAACAGAACAATTGCTTATTGATCCTATAGTTATTTTTTAGGTCGTTCGAACTATCTCTTTATGTTCTCGTGACGCGAAGAGTTCATTTTACAATTATTCTTTCTATACGGCTTGCTAAATGGGCTTGTAAAGTAGTGAAATTTTTTTATGAAACGATTTACTGATACATTACGGCGCATCCTTGAACGTTTTTGCAGTATTCAAGCACAAGCTTCGTAAAATTTTCTACACATGGCACACACGTTTTAACGCGCTAGTTCAAGACGCGACGATGTGTGTGCATGTGTAAGGCGAAATATTATGAATATCCTTTCCCACGTATAGCGCCAGATGCTAACTTTTGTGTTAGCTCTTACGCACCAAAGCTGCGTAAGACTTGCATGCGCACGCCACATCCCGTGGCACGACAGGCCGCCGACTCTTTTTAAGGTGACTTCACACCGGGCAAAGCCCGATAGAATGCGAAAAAAAATGTGGTCGAACATGACGCGAATGTCGAGTCGTTACACGGTGTTACGCCACGCCGATTTCTTTTTGCGCCTTACACGGCATTTAAGAACCAAACGGGAAAAGCCATAAGAAACTATATTTTTTACGTAATTACATATATCGTACTTAATTTAATATTTTACAATATTTTAAGGAATTGAATAAATTCGCGAAATAGATTTATATTTTTTTTGAAACTAGAACACTAAATTGACTTAATTGCGATTCATAGTAAATCTGACTTCTTAAGAGGTTGTTACCAAAATTACTTGTAATTAATTATGATTATTTATGAAAAGTCACAAAAATCTAAAGATTATTGTCGATCTTAATTGAAACATACATTGAAAGAAGATCCTAATAATAACTACCAAATATTTAGTGAAATAATGCTAATTAAATGTTCGGTTATATTAACATTTAGGGGGGACTGGATTAATTTACATTTAAAAATAATGGAATGTTATTTAATTCAAGAAATTGAATTACTATTAGATATCCTTCGATATCTAATAATGCATTTGTTTTTCTAAATGCACGATTTCGGAGCGATGCGTTCTGGAACTCCTGACGTTAATAAATAGGAGTACGCGCTTATCACGGTTTCACTGAGCTCTTGACAAACTTCACATAAAAACGATATTTCGAAGATAACACGCAATGCACTGCCGCGGCAATGTTTGCGTGACGTGACATTGAGACGACAAAATTACGAGCACGAAACTATTATAATTTGGTGGATGCAATTCGTGAGAGGCGCTCAATTTCGCGTTCTATCGGGAAACTCGACGTGGAATACGTTCTGAGTCATTTCGATTTTGGTCTTCACGAATTCCGTGCAGGCTATAAATTCTCAGTTATTGATTTTTCCCATAAATTAGCAAGAGTAATACTAATATCTAACCGTTATCGAAATTTCTCACGAAACGGCATTCGCCGCAACCTTGGCGGGCTGACCTAAACTCGTCCGTCGAGTTTTTTTCTTCTTACCGATCAATACTCATGTATATAGAAATACGCTTCATTTCCGATGGATAATGTACTTACTTATCGTCTTGTTGATCCAATCAGCCAAATCCTCCTGAAGTGGTATCAGCTGACGACTCTGCGCCGAGTGTAGCCGCTCGTGATAGAACTCGAACTCTTCCTCCTCTGGCGAAGGTCGCGGCACATCGGCACGATTGAAGACAGAAACCGAGGACGGTCCCCAGCTACTGCGATAACGGGTGTGCTGGGAGGATGGGAATCGGTTGGCGTACGACATTTTGAGGCTGCTCCTGCCGACGTTCCCGCCGCACGCCGAATCCTGTTTCGACGCTTCTCTCCTCGCTCTCCTTGGGTCCTCTTCCAGGACCCACTTCACTTTCTTCGACAGTTCCCAGGCTATTCAAGAACGAGTTGTGTAGAGACGTGAGCCTCACGATCAAGTACCGTCTGAAAAGCAAAAGGAGGCTACCGTTATCGCAGAAAACGGAATCGCCAAAAACTGGATGTACACTGAGAATGCTAATCGAAAGCGAGAGTCTGACGATAAGAGCAACATGAATCTCTTCTTAGAAAATAGAGAAAAAATAAGACACTCGAGATATAGAATAAATGAACATGAATGTGCACTTATGCGCGCGGAGGATCCTTTACAATTTCTCTGAGAAGTCGAGAACGAAACGACAGAGTTTCGTTCTCATTGAATAAGGGCTCTCTTTTAAGTGTCTTGTCCGCTGTTATCTTGAAGCAGCTATAAATAATTCAAGACTCAAGATGAGAATATCTTGAAAAATATCCTTTTACAAGCAGAATTGAAATTCGAAAGCGGAATTGAAGTTAGAAAGATAAATAGACATTAGATTAGGATTAAGGTAGAAAATTCTCATAGTTGAAAATCTTATTTTTTTCACGGAGATACGAAGAACGTCAGTATATACGAATAAGTACTTGTCGGTAATTATATCTAAGTTTGCTGTTATATCGCGTGCTTCGAGGGAGCATAATGGAACTCAAGAAGTCAAGTGATTAAAGAACAAAGAAGTCTGAAGAGGGAGTATCGAGCACGAAATGTCTATCAACTTACAAAGGCTATGCGATGAAATATATAGAGCCTATTTTGAATTTTGCAAAGTTCGTGATATTTTTTAAATTTGGGTAACATTGCTTCCCGCTTCCGAAGAAGCGCATCACTTCAAAACAAGAATCAACACTCACGCACCAATAATTAATTAGGTGCTTTTATATCTTCTTGCAGCGGGAAGAAACTTTTCTTTCGTACGATACGGTAATGCTTCTAAGTACTATTGGATAAAATTATTAATCGCCCTACCAATACCAAAAAAAATACTAATGTAGAAATAGTACATCGATATCTCAGTCTCTAGACTGAGAAAACAAATCACCGCCCAGTGCGATGTTCATGGACGAAAAACCTACGAGCGTCCTTCGCCGTATCGATATATTATACATCGTGCGACTATTACCATAACGCAATGTATTACCGCGTCAACACGTACGCGCGTTTCTCAGATTCGTAGGTATTAAGAACAACTCACTCGAAGAGAGACGACTTTCTTATCGAAATCTCTAGCGAGACGAATGACGGCGAGCGACACGTTTGCGAAACCGGTGAAACTCGGCATTCGATCGGAGCAGTTGAAATTGTCGCTGCGCTCGATGCTTGTATGCGCTCAACATGTACGTGGGCGCGAAATATCCTCTCACATATATCATGGTAGACATTTCTATAAATCGCGATGATCGTTCCTCCGTTTCCGCGATTAATAGCACATTTTCATTATGCTTACATTAGATAGGGTGAATATCAGCTTTAAGATCATTTAATTAATTTCCGACCTAGACATCTATCCATGCGAAATAGAAAATATATATAATACGCCGAGATCACTATAGTAATTATTTATTATGTTATTACATGGAAAGAACGGTTTTGTTGAAATATCTAAAAGTTTAAGTATAGATTTAAAAATAATTTCGTTAGATTATTAAAATAATTATGTAGAATGCTTAAGTAATTGTGAATATCCTATACGTAGTTATTTTAATAGTCCAAACAAAATTATATTTAGATCTATATCTAGCTAAATTTTTAAATGTAATACCATTTTCAGCAAACTTCTCATTCTTATTTTTGTGTTCAGCGTTTTTCAAAACATCGCCTTAATTAGAATTGTCTTTAAGTAACAGCGAAAGTATTAATCTTAATACATCGAGGAGAGAAAAGCGGTGCTTTCGTTGGGCTCTCTGTCAACATTGGTCGGCATGAATGAAGATGTTGTAAATCACGCAGAAAGTGCGCGCGTGATATTTTTCAAGTACTCTAGTAGTAATCGCGTGCAATTATATATCCACTTTCGAAAGGAGAATTCGAGGATCTTTACGAATGTATTTATCTCGGCTTAAAGTTTTCATTAAGGCCCCTCGAACGCCTCGATTCCCGTTGCAACAATCAGATTTACGTAATCACGCAAAAATAAACGAACACGAGAAACCATATAGGATCTCTAAATACGGCGTATAGCGTTGAGAAGAGAGAGAATGAGAGACCGCGTGTAGCGGTATACGTCACGAGACGCTGAACATCTCGAGTTCCTTAAGTCGAACGTTGTTTGTAAGTATAACTAGCAAGGTAACGCACGTATATATACATATAGTTATCCTTGACTAAAGATTTGTGTGCCCATACTGGGAATAAGCCCGCTGCCAGATTCAGACGAGTTTGTCTTCCTGGACCGATGATGCCTTCAAACGCACGATACAAACGGAATTAAAAAATGATTTTACCGAAGTATTTAAAAATTTAGGTAGACACGAATTTTAAACTAATTTTGTTGGATTACCAAAATAATTATGTAGGATACTTAAACTTGTTGCTCGAATGTGTCTAACTTTTTTAATAATATTGTTCATCTATAGAAACGGAATCTGCTTGGAAAAGAATTGAATCATTAATTCAATTCTTTTGCCCGTGAAACTAATTTGGAATTGCAAAACTTATCGAGCGCAGAGACGGTTCCACGTCAACTTCACCGAACACTCTCAAAGACGTCATTCATAAAGACGGTATTGTGTAACTGCCGAGGAACGACTGAACGACTGTACGGATGACTTACGAATCGAGATACCAGAAGATTGCGAGACGATATACTGTTAATACACGATTCATTAAATGAAATCCAAATGTATCTCTACACCACTTTATTATTTCTTGTAATGAATATAACGTGGACTGATTCTATAATCATCTGGATAATAATCTGGTTGTGTTCTAAAAATAATCGATTGGGTTATAAGGTTCTTCTCTCGCCGCTTGAAAAACATCGATAAAAACACCGCTTGAGCATCATTAGTCAAGCTTTTATTTTTCGCCAGATAACGTAACGGCCGCCCACGGGATGACATAACTTCATTGCTTTATACGTTTTCGATCTCTGCATTAATTTGTAGACTCGGTTGCGCTGCTCAATATCCAGCAGCTGGATGTAATTGCATAGTTATTACATAGCGCTACTTTACGCCTACATTCAAAAATTGTGATGCTAATCTTCGTGAGCAACTGTTCACTGCTTCTCGTGTAAATAACATTAAGCGTGATATAACAACACTTTGTAAAGTTTTATTCCGATAAGAAACGTATCGTCCATTTTAGAGCACGATGTGATGAATGAGATTACTTTAATTGATGCGCACATTGCACACAATTTGCGCAAAGCATGAAAAATATTTACTAACACAATCTCGTTACCGTTTCATTTCGATTACGTGTGTGCTTCTTCTGTCATAATACAGTGATATAATAATATATAGTTTACGCGAAAGTACTATCCAATTAACATGAATGGTTCTGCAAGTTTAAAAAAATTGTGAGACATTAATTTTTCAATCGGGTTAAAAAACAACCGATTAATTAACGACGGACTAATTAATTTTTTTTCCCTTATTCTTTGAATTAAGAAAATCAAAAGTAATAAGTTAAACCGAGATAAGGATGTAATTACTAGGTGTATAAGAGATATATACAGGAGATATATATCTTTGTAAAAAGAGAGCGACTGGAAATTTATATTTTCCAGATAAAAATGAATGTTATAAATACATACGAAATTTTTTTTAATTATATTTTTTAAAGCATGTTTACTTCTTAAAATAATTTTTGATTCAGGTTTTAAATTGCCGTCAAACGTTTTGTATTATTTTGTAGAAAAATCTAATTTGTTCATTTTGTTTAAAAATATGTGCAATATACATTCTTAAAGGTAATATATCAATTGATAAAAGTGAATATAAAAGTCGCAAGAGAAGGAAGTCGATTGAACGATACGAAAGGCACGGTCCATTACCCGATCGAAAAAAAAAAATCGAAGCGCATTATGCACCAAAGTCCGTGTCCGAAGTCAATGACCGGACAACAATCGAATCTAATCGGAGGATGAGCGACGAATTGGATCGCTATTAGAGACCTCAACGCGCGCATACATACTTACGTACGTATAACCGTATACGAGATTAGCCGCGTGGCGAAAGCTGGGCTTCCATCACATCATTGCACGTCCGTCCGACTCGTAACGCGAGTGCGTGGGCGTACAGCTTATTACGAGGAGACACATGTAACACACAGACGTCGCGTGACAATCACTCGACAACGGTCCTCGGAATCTTGCGGACAATCTTGCGGACCGAATGTATGTACAGTGGACCCAACGTAAACGGCTATCCGCCGTGGTAACATTTGCTGCACGCATTAATCGTACATTTGCCCGCGTTTGTCTGCGTTGAATGGTCGATCTTAATCAGACCTCGCGCGAAACATCTTGTCTAGAAATGTTAGATTAATGATTCAATTCTTTTCCGAGCATTTGTTAACAACAGAAACCGTTTTAAATCTCCCATTTAGAAATCCCGTTTTCTGTAATTGGCACCAACCTATTTCTTATCAAATTGATTTCCCGATTGGTAATATTTTATCATGAACATGTTATTACTATGTTTAAACGGGCTCTTTACCGATTACTTTAGCGAGTTATAATTCCGGCATGATTTATGTACGTGGATAACTGCAAAATTTACACAGAAAGAGAAAGATTTGCTGGTTCTGCAGCGTGTTTCTCTAGTCGTTTTACTTTTTACACGTGGCTCAACGTTGCGTGTAGGTGGTCGTTCCGCGAGAACGTACGGCCATAAAATGTTCCTTAAAAGGAGCCGATAAAGTCGCGGTCACCCGCATCACAAAGAGAAAAAGCAGTATTATCATGTCGGTCG